TCCACACTCGGCAGGCAGGCTCCCCCGTCGACTCCGCGGTACTCCTCTCGCCCAGCTGGAGTACCGCAGTCGATGGCGAGCACTTGCGGGCTCGACTTAACGCGGCCCGACTAGACACGATAAGTCGAACCCAGAAGTTCGATTGCCAGCCGCCGAACTAGCGGGTAAGTGTAGCCAAGGCCTAAGATGCAATTTTCTACCTTACCAAGATATCCCATACCTTTGTGAACTACTTCTGTAGGGATTGGGCACAACATTTTCTCAAGTGAAAAAAATTATTTCCACTTCCTACAAAATAAGCCCTACAAACTTTTCTACCCTTCTAACTCCACAAGAAGCCACGTTGCACCATCTTAACACATACAGAGTCAGATTATCTGCCATGTCTGCATCTCCCCTATCTGGGTTTTCCTGTGGCATGATGGAATCCCCAGAGGGGTTAGAGCCAGCATAGCCAGCTCTAAGCTATTCCTGGAGCCCCCAGCCGGGAGGGCATGCCGGGACTGGGGAAGGGTGTGTTAGAAGTAGTGATGTGAGGAGCAGGAGTGGCTGGAGCACACTGCACTCCAGTTATACTCAATGGGAGCATTCTGAGCTGACACATGCTAGAGACACCTTTAGGCAGTAGCCTCTGCACTACTCAAGCCTGCACCAGGGCTGAGGACCAATGAGAACTGGGGAGCCATAACCTCCCTCCACCAAATGTAAAGCTGATGAATCCAAGAATCTGACCCCTGCTATGTGCAGAGAGAACTGCCATAGTAATTTTATGAATTACTTCACTAGCAACATTCCACTGGATTAGATCTTTGGTCAGCTCCACGAGATGTGGGTGAAATCCTCTGCATCTCCACACTGCCTTCAGTATGCTTAAAAATGGCTTCTGTTAAATTTGGGTAAATGGCATGGCACATAATAAAGCATTCAATATGCAGAAGTTTGTTTATATTGAGTCCCCCATTTGTTGCACTACTATAGAGTACTGTTAATTAGTTCCAAAATGTTATAACATTATTTCATGAGACAGGATCTATTGAAATCTTTTCCCATACCAATTTTCATTCAATTTTCAACACTTTTGGTATTGTGTCAACTGAACATAAATAAGCCCCTTTCTTCCAACATAATAGAAAAGACTCTTCCTCCCCCCCTCTTTTGAGGATCTACAGAAAATATGGCTTCCTAACTGAGGAAATAGACAAAATGACAATTTGGAAGGGCTATCTGAAGTCCGAAATTGCTCTAGCGTATTTTACAATTTACTAATACAAGGAGATCATTCCCTGCTTCTCCCATATTTCAATATACACCCGTCTTCCATCTAAGCTGTATTCTGTATACTTTTCAGAGGGGTAGCCATGTTAGTCTGTTTCAGCAAAAACAACGAGGAGTCTTGTGGTACCTTAAAGACCAACACATTTATTAGAGCATAACCTCACGAAAGCTTATGCTCTAATAAATGTGTTAATCTTTAAGGTGCCACAAGACTCCTTGTTCTTTCTGTATACTTTGTGGCTCTGTTCATATCAGCACTATAATACAAAGTCCTTTTTCTTTCTATCCTAAAGAAACTGTCAGACTAACATAAAATTACTTCCCTTAGGTTATTGTAAGGATAGGCTGCTTTCCCAATATCCATGTAATCAATGTCTGTGATTTGTGCCTGACATGCCACAATCTACCATAAGGTTCCTGTAGGTTTTTTTAGTTTTTATTGTTTTGGGTTCATTGTTTGAATAACTGATAATGATTCTTTTTCTATATTCCAAACTTGTATTAATGATTTTTAAGTTAAAATATTCCTTTTTTTCTTTTAACAGGAAGCCCATCTGGCCACGCCATGGGATCTTCTTGTGTCTGGTATGTAATGGTAACAGCAGCACTTAGCTACACAGTGAGGTGGAAAGATGAATCCGCAATTACACTGCACAGGTCAGTCAGTTTCTGATATTCTGAAACCTTTATTTTAATGGATTTATATATTTAGTTTAGATAAACATTATTATAGCAAATATTTGTAATATATAGCAAATATTTGTAATTCATTTTTGGCCCACTTGACTTTTAAATTGTTAACATGTCTTCATTCTCACTGGTTTTGGACAAAGAATTAGAATAGCAGTTCTCAAACTGTGGGTTGGGACCCCAAAGTGGGTCGTGACCCCGTTTTAATGGGGTCGCCAGGGCCCACGCCCCACCACCCGGGGCCGAAGCTGAAGCCTGAGATCTTCAGTCCTAGACGTCTGGGCTCAGGTTATAGACCCCTCGCCCAGGGCTTCAGCTTTGGGGCTCGGGCTTTGTCCCCCCCGCTTGGGTGGTCTCAGGCTTCAGTACCCTCTCTTGGGGTCACATAGTAATTTTTGTTGTGAGAAGGGGGTCATGGTGCAATGAAGTTTGAGAACCCCTGAATTAGAATATAGAGGAGATTTATATTTTTCTTTAGAGTGACATCTAATTAACTCACTGCCATTGCATTAACACAGATCTGAACCTGCCTCCTTTAAACACTATGGGAGTCAGACAGGTCAATAATGTTGGGAATCTTGATTTATATTCAGTGCCTTTCTTTGTCTGATCTACTGGTTAGTGCATTAAATTTACCACTTTGGGAATGGTCATTCATATTTTATTCTAAAGAAAATACTCATAATATTGGCACAGACAGCATGTTACTCAGTTCTGTGTAAAAGCTTATGACTGGTTGGATTTTTTACCACGGTTGAAAGGATTTTTATTCGACTGCATAGATCATGAGTTTAATTATGCCTTCATGATGATAAACACATGGAAAAATACATCTGACACTTTAGCTTTCAATTGATATCTTACAGCAAAAACAAAGCATCTGATCTTAGATCCTAAAGTATTAGTGCCTGATCCTGCAGTCTTTAATCGGGCAAAATTCCATTAAAGTAAATGGGATCGCAAGATCATACCTTTATTCTGACAGTTTTATTTCAGCATCTGGCTCCAGGTTTTGATCATCTGTCTCTACACTGTTGAATTTATACATCTGGCTGCTAAAAATATGGAACTCCGTTGAATGATGCATAATGAAATATAATATTTTGGATTTTTTAAATTTCATATATACAATTTCTTTTTCTTTCATAGACTTACCTGGTCATTCCTCTGGAGTGTGTTTTGGATTATTCAGATCAGTGTGTGTCTCTCTAGAGTATTCATAGCAACACATTTCCCACATCAAGTTATTCTTGGAGTAATTGGTGGTAATATTGCTTATTCTTACTCTTTGCAACATAAATACATTATCTGAACATTTGTTTTAAGTTTAAAAACAAGTCGTAGTTATTTAAAGGGCTTTTTATCCTGTCTCTCTAGAGCTGCATGTGATTTCTGGGGAGACTACGGATTTGAATATATTGTTGTTATTATTATTATTAATTACGTATTTGTATTACTATGGTATGTAGAAGCCCTAGTCATTGACCAGGAGCCCATTGTGCTAGATGCTGTACAAACACAGAACAAAAAGATGGCCCCTGCCCCCAGGATCCTACAATCTTAGTATAATACAGCCTTTGGGTAACATTTTCAAAAGCACAAAAGTGTTTTAGGAGTCTAGTCCCCGTTTTTCTAAAGGAACATAGGCATCTGGAAGCCTGAGTCCCGTTGATTTCCTATGAGGCCTAGGCTCCTAAGCCCCAGCTCAGTTGTAAAAATTGGATTTAGGCACTTATGAAAATGCTTCCCTTAGTCACTGTCTGATCTCAGAATGATTGGCACTCCCTATGCTACTTTCCATGTGCAAATCAGCATGTTTAGCACTGAGCCAACGGTTTGAAGCGACTGGGGTCCATCTCCGTTCCTCTTCATAGCCAAGAAGGGGGTGAATGAGGAAAGGGAGAGAGATGAAAAACATCTCCCTCTCCAGCACTCAGAAAGAGGGAAGGACTAAGAACATAGATAGGCTTGATTCACCCCCCGTGAGAGTAGGGAGTTGCAATCTGCATCCCTCTCTACCCATGGGGTAGCATCTGAAGAGTATGAAAAAGGAGAGAGAGAGAGAGAGAGAGAGACTGGCCTGTCTGGGTTTGCTAATGCAGGGTTTATTAGTGGAAAAACTACATGTCTCTTCTGAACCTCTGGCTCTTGGCATTTAAAGTAACGAGGCAGACCCATTATTTTGACTTGGCAGTTTTGGAGAAGAATGAGGTTTTTGGGTGTACTATAAAAGTGGAAAAACCATACATATTCTTTTTCTTTAAGAGGTTTAATTCTGCTTTTTTAGAGGTAGGCCCTGGAAAGCAATTTCTTTTTCAATATCCAAGAGCATAATGCCCACCCTAATATTGCACTTCTAATTCACAGGAATGCTTGTTGCTGAAGCATTTGAACATACCCCTGCTATCCAGACAGCGAGTTTGAGAACGTACATCAAGACAAATTTGTTTCTCTTCATCTTTGCTCTTGGCTTTTACCTGCTTCTCAAACTTATTGATGTTGATCTTCTATGGTCCGTTCCAAAGGCAAAGAAATGGTGTGCCAATCCAGACTGGATAAACATTGACACAACTCCATTTGCTGGACTGGTGAGAAATTTAGGTGCACTCTTTGGGTTAGGTCTTGGCATTAATTCTGAAATGTTCATCATGAGCTGTAAAGGTACAAATGGATATAAGACGAGTTTCAGACTACTGTGCATAGCTGCTTCTTTAGTTACCTTGCAGCTGTTTGATTTTATCAAGTTACCCACACACACCGAGTATTTGTTTTATGTTCTTTCTTTTTGTAAAAGTGCAGCCATACCTCTTACTGTAGTTGCCTTGATTCCATACTGCATACACTTGTTAATGAGGCCAACTGAAAAGAAGTTAAATTAGATGAACTTTCAAAATAGTCTGAAAAAATGTGGATGCATTTAGATACAAGTGGTTTCTGTGACTCCATTCTGAACAGTGGTGTGTGTCACTGTGTGTTTGATGTGCTCCCGGTAAGTCCCATGCCCAAAGGCAGTACATCCAGGAATGACACTGTCATGTCACAACCACTGATTGGCTTGCATTTTGACTTCATTCCCAGAAGTACTGCAAGGATTGACAATGCAGCATGGCTGCCTAACACCACTGCGGGTATGCACATGTTTTGATGCGTGTTGGGATTAGCCACAGCTTGTAGATTTTCTAGTTCTTATACACTTTCAGTTGGATGGTGCTTCATCTCCCATATCATCATTCCACTTTCCATTTTATATATATAAATGCTGCATGTTAATCTGCTGGAAAATTAGGTGTGATAAAATCACACTAATTCAACTACATGAATACAGCCATGTAGTGTGGTGAAGTTCTGCATAGTTTGCCAAACTTTAGATTTAACTTAGTGTTTTCTGAGTGAAGCATCTTCTGACTGAGTCAGGAAAGAAGAAGAAAATATTTTTAAAAAGATTAGTCTGAAATAATGTAATTTCAGTCCACTTGATTCTATTTCTAGGGCTATTGACAGAGCAGATAACTTTGTATTGATACGTTGCTTTTTGTATTTTTCTTTCAAAAATAGCTAAATGCAAAATCTTGAAATGAAAAGGCAATAAATTCTATTTACTAAAACTACTATACATTTAACTTTGTGGAAATTCATGAACATAGCGCATTTAAAGCAGTGTTATTTGGGTATGCATCTGCACAGAGTAACTGCAGAAAGTCATACAGTGTGAATTCATGTAATCTCAACACACCTCCTAGTGTGCTATGCATGCTCCTGTCTTTCCAACGTAAATCAGTCTAATAATCTCATTTAAAGAGTACCAGAATCACTATTTAGGGGTGCAATTGATCAAGGTAATTCTTTGTTGCCATATAGTGAAAAAGCAATTCAAGAGTAAACATGACATGGTTGTATTTGACCAGCTTTGTTTGCCCAACCACAGAGATAACTATTATTATAATAAATGTAACAAACTCATTTGTGAATTGATCATGCTGATTAATTTGCTGCTATAAATATATAAAGCCAATTATATCCCTTTTTATAAATTTTAATTCACTTCTATCATTGCACATTGACTTTCTACGGGTATGTCTACACCACCCACCAGATCAGCAGGCAACGATCGATCCAGCGGGGGTTGATTTATCGCGTCTAGTCTAGGCGCGATAAATCGACCTCCCTCCCCAGCACTCTCCTGTTGACTCCTATACTCCACCGCCACGAGAGACGCAGGCAGAGTCAACGGGGGAGCGTCAGCAGTCGACTCACCGCAGTGAGTAGGTCTAAGTACGTCGACTTCAGCTACCCTGAAGTTGCGTAACTTAGATCGATCCCCCTTCCCCAGTGTAGACCAGGCCTAAAATTCATATCCCATGTAATTTCTGGGTGCGATACCTTTTCAGAGCACAGCTGAGCTATATTGTATTGGTGCCTTGGATAGCGTTTGCAGATCCTACACTAAGGCCAAGGGAAGGGCTGGAGCAGTACTGGGCCTGGAAGGCTCTGCCCCTCAAGCATCTTGGCTGAGGGTTAGACTAGATGACCCTTGCGGTCCCTTCTAATCCTATGGTTCTATGATTCTACTGGCCAGATTGCTCCTAGGGAAAGGACCGATATAAAAGAAGCTCCAGTAGCCCCAGGCAGGAGGGAGACAAGAGGGAAGCCATTTCCTGAAGAAGCACCGTTTTGCAACAGCAGAAGAAGAAACCTCTACTGAGGGGGGTCTGGCTGTGAGTCTTCCCCCTTGACACTACCCAAGAGGGAGGTAGAACCAGGGGCAAGGCCTGACCTTAGCCTGTGGGAGTTCAATGCAAGGACTTTAATTCAACTACTTATACTCCAGTCCCCACTTCCTATGACCATCACTGTGCCCTTCCATGTGCCCTAGTGATCCCTGGTTGCTGCCACAGCCTTTTGGGACTATTGGAAGCTGGTTTAATTTAGAACTGCCCTCAGAATACTCTAACTTACCCCTGGGGACCAAACCAGTGGGAAGACACCTTTGCCCTCCCCTCCCTGAATTATGCCATGCACTCCTTGGCCTTGGTGGAGGATCTGGGACTGTATATTTATACAGACATGCACAACACATTTTATATTCTCTTGAGCTAAGTGGGAGGATAATAGGGAAATAATACTGCAACAGCGAAAGCGTACTATGTATTGATTGAGTGCTACCAATGTGCTCAGTGTTATACGAACATCCAAGATTACATAGTCAATCTCACAAGGAACTTGCTATCTAATTCAGACACTGCATCTACTGCTTTTTAGAGACATGAACAAAGGTCAAGTTCCTACTTGAACTGCTTTATATTCTGTCTGCAAGTATCTGAAAACATCCTAAAGACAAGAAGGATGTCAGATATGCATAAGAGCTTCTATGTCTGCACTAAGTGCTTTATTTGGCTATTTACAAAGCATTTTCCTCTTCCTCGATGCAATGTCAGTAATTTAGTAATCATTTGTGACATTTCAGTGCAGAGTGTATAGTAACAAAATCTAGGCAAAGCTTCATGCACATCCTTCAGGAATCGGAAATAAAATCTCTAAAGAAAAGTGCTGGAAGTTAATGTGAACTCAGTTTGCAAGGCATGAAAGGCTCTATCTTGTAGCCCAAAATCCTTGAAATACTGTTTATATCACAGTAGGAGACATTTTGGTTTCAGATCCCAATATTCATCCCATGTTAACTGCGCTTTCTATAAAATTGTAACAATGGCCTAAGGGAATTCTAATTGTATTTTTAGCAACGTAGAAGTAATAAATTAACAGATTGGACAGAAGGAGGTTATTTCATGAGTGTTATAATTATTTTGCACTAGGAATTTGATAAATATGGAAATCATTTTAGATAATCCTAGGAACACTTAATATTTAGGTCTTTCATGCAAAGAGTATCTGTGAAATTGGATGGCAACTTTTCTTGATTCCAGAAATTGCAATTTTTCCCAGTAAAAGCACATCCAGTATTGAGAACAGGCACCAATGCATAGGAAAGTCAGGAATGGATTACAACATACAGGGATAATCCATAACATTACTGTTTTCCAAGTACTGATGCATGTACTCAGGTACTCTAATTTATCAAACACAGTAGGTTCCAAATACTGACTTGCCTTTAAATATTGGATTCATGTTCGGTTTCGGAGAGTAACAAGGCAGGGTTTTTTATGCATGTCCCTACCTCCAAAGTCAGTGTGGTAAGTACATTGTAATTACAATGTGAATGAAAAATAACTTTGGTTGTAGCTAGTCTGGGTTACAAGGTCTAATATGCTTACTTTGGTTTGTAACAGTGCGCATGGTAATATTAACAAGAATGGAAATTTTCTTACCCAATCATTTCCATTCTTCTAGCAGCGTCTTCCACAATCATCCTACATATGGGCTATTCCCCTCCTGTCTGCAGCTTCTGGAGGCAATTCAAAGCTATAGAATAGCTTGCTCTCGCCATGCTCCCTTTGCCAGCCTACTGCCAGTAGATTCATTCCAGAGCAGTGTAAAACAATAATTAATTGCAAGATTATTAGTAACAGCAAGGTTATTACTGAACCACCACATACAGCACCCTCTTGCCGAAGGAGGCGTCCGTGAAAGACAGAAGACAGAGTCTAATAAAGGTGTTAGCCAATATCCGTGTCACTGCTCTGCAGTTTTCTGCAGTGAAACAACATGCTCTTTCAGCCCACAATGTTGCCATAGATCTTGTGCCATGGACCTTGATTCCTTCTGGATGCCTTGTATGCCTCAACAATACATAGTCTGATCCATCTGGCTAACGTACTCTAAGTTCTTGACACCTTGGGTGAAAGGAAATGAACAGAGAGCCTGATCTCTTTGTGGATTCTGAACAGTTGATATAAACCTTTGGTACTTATCTGACAGCCAATGTGTGCCATATCTTCCCATTGAGTTGCTGTGACTTTGGACAGCCTGAAGGGAGGACAATCTGCTGTGAGGCATGAAAAGGAGAGTTTACTTTAGGCAGGAACATTTCTGCACCACCTTGACATCATTGAACATACAGTAAGGTTCCTGCATGGATAAGGCTGTGGAAATGATGGTGACCAGAAAACAGGTTTTGATGGAGAGGTAAAATGGTGATACAAATGTCAGAGGTTCAAAGGAATTGGGGCTTTCAACACCAGTGGTAGGTCCCACTTAGGGAAAATTGGTCTGATTGCTCTGAGGGACCTGGGTACCTGAGAGTTCTCACCCAGGGAGCCCAAGGATCCTGCAAACAGCACAATAATGAGGGCTGACACCTGGAGAACTGTCGTGCTTAGCTCTGAATCTCCTACAAATGCACAGATTCATGACAAACACCAAGAAACATTTTATGATTCCTTCAATTATTCATCTGGGTGCGGTGATAGACATGTCAGCAATGCAGATCTACCCATCATTCGACAGATTCCACAAGATTCAGGACTTGATATCCATGCTAGTCAAGAGCAGGACCCCAACAACAGTTCAGTGCCTTCAGCTACTGGGTCTCCTGTTCTCGTACTGAGGGATCACTCCATGGATGAGATCACAGATCAGATGCCTCAGGTCTGTCTGCTGAAAGTATGGGACCATGGTCTGGCATGGATGCAAGATTGGTACTGGTCCCAGACCAAGTCATTGACTTCCTGAGATGGCAGGGAGTCCCGGGCAATGTCCACAGGTGTTTGTCATGAATCTTTGTTCTTGCAGGAGATTCAGAGCCTGGATCATGGTACTGTGTGTGGTGGTCTGGGTAGGAGTCTGATTTAGATGCCTTCCAGAAAGAGGAATAGATGAATTCCCTGGGATCTGGATATTGAATATCACCAGCATCTTCGTAAATGCCTTGGGGACGATGGGAGACTGAATGGCACTGTTTGGTACTGGTAGCAATTCATGCCATAAGCAAATCTCAGTAGGTTGTCTTGGCAGGGGCACACTGGACTGTGGAGATATGGGTGACACAGGTGATGTGCGTCTTGGTGTCAACTGGCAGAGGGCACAGGGCTGCATAAGGGTTACTGGGATCCCCTGGGTCTGATATCTTCATACTACTTCGCCAAAGGGTGTCATGTAAAGTCTTTACTGAAAGCCTGTATTACCCTTCTCATCATAAACATTGCACAATGTATGTACAGGTAATAATTAAGAAGTTATGTATCTGTACTGGAAATGATGTTCTTAAAGCTTTGAAGTTAAAAGCAGGTCAACACAAGGTGACCAGTCTTGGACAGATTCTGGTCTGACCGGGGATAGGAAATGCTTC